AGCATGACACGCCTCTCTCTGATTGGTTGATCCTCAAGGCTGCATCTGAGGCCTCCACCTTGCTTAGTCTGTGATTGATGATGAGCATGACATGCTTCTCTCTGATTGGTTGATCCTCAAGGCTGCTTCTCAAGCCTCCACCTATGAAAGTCGGTGCTAACTAACTGCTTGGATAAGGTTGGGCCGAGTTGGGCCTTGAATTCGTTTGGGCCGGTACTGGGCTTGAACCTGGGCTCTGTTTTGGGTTGTACTCTGATCATTTTCTTTTTTATTTTGCAGGTTGTTTTGGCTTTGGGCCCAATGGAAATAGTAAGGTCTTGATCTGATTGGTGCCTAATTTTGTAGAGTTAATGTTAGTCTTTGTAACTATGTATCGACTTTGCATCTTTGATTATAAAGCTCATTCCCCTATTCGATTAGTCCCATTTGAAATGCCGAATCCAAATCCAAAGTGTACAACAAACTTTGCACTATAGCCATTTCTTCCATCCAATTGAGAATTTATATTTAAGTTTTGCCACTGCTAATCTTAACTTAAATCAATCCTATCTTAACTAATTATGCCCTAGAATCGATTAGGAGCAAATTTGGTAATTGTTGGTTCATATTGACTTGCAACTGCTAGTCTCAACCAAACTATCTTCAGCTTCCTTTTAAAATATAATCGTAGTTCGATGTTATAAAAATTATTTCCAGTAAAATAATTATTCCGGACAAAATGTGGTGTCTACAAGTATGTTTATTATGTGCAAAGTTTAGGCCATATAAATATATTACCAAAAAAAATTATGCATTGTCAAATACGGTATAATTTTACTCACCTATTATATCGTGAGAACCCAGTGAGGTCGTTAGTAACACGTGTGAAGTGTGAGAGATTTTAAACTTGAAAGCGCAGTTTTTAACTACATTAGTTAAAAAAACTGTGATTATGCGTAGATGCGTTTTGGTGACCTTGAACTAGAAGCATAAAAACGTAAGTTTTAAAACTTTAAAGTGCAATTTTTTACTACATTGCATAAAAGCACGTAAAAAAGATTATGGATGCTACAAGTAGGACTAGGAAAATAGATCAGACCATTTGAAAACCCATGGTTCAAACTGGACCGTGCATTTTGGTACGGACCATAGACCGTTAAGTATGGTTTGGTCTAGGGCTGCCAGTTCGAGTAATCAACCCGAAACTCACAAAACCCAAAAATCGAAACACGTTATCCTTGGAAAACCAAACCCGAAAATAAAACACCCTATGGGATATGAAGCTTTTGTATCTTTAGCTAAACCCGACACCGAAACCAAAAAATAAAATCCAAAACCGAAAACCCGAACCCAAAAGAAAACCAAAACTCAATAATAAATCTTATCGGTTCGGGTTTGGTTAAAACCGAAAACCAAACCCGAATTGACACCCCTAGTCTGGTCTGGTCCATGGTCTGTACTATATGAAGTTTTGATCTCTTGGTCTGGTCTGGTTTAGACTGCGATTTATCGGACCAAATCATGCACCCAACCGACTTCTCAATACGTATTAGCAGCCCACTCAGCCACTCTCCCAACTCACACAATGATACCTAAGTCTCAATCTTAATTTTGAGAATCTCATCCCCTCCTTCATTCACAATCATATTTTACCAGAGAGTAGTGACGATCGTGTCTCCATATGACTTTATGTAAATGTTTATGACGTTATGGTGCAACTTGAGATGCTTTGACTTTGTACCTTTATTATTTACTGAGATTTATGGTGTCAAATTTATTCATGCATGTTGGAATTTATGTTTTAAGAAAAAAAAACAATTATTGTTTTGGCTATTGGTTCAATTTTGTTGTGGTTGACTAATTAAATTGTTCATTTTTCGTTCAGTGTGATCTCTATGTACCAGACCGTACGGCACAGACGTGGTCTGGTCTGAACCATATAGTTTGTAGTCTATACTGCAGCCTCTTGGTCTAGACCATAGACCGTATATATGGTTCGATCTGGACCAGACCACACCGTTTCCCAATCCTAACTACAAGTCTCATGAAATATAAAAAAAAGTAATAAAAAGATCAAAATTTGGGGAAGGAAAACATAAGTCTACTAAATTAGACCATAAACACAAGAACATAAGCCACAAGTGTAACAATGTCAGCAAAGTACATAATGGCAAATTAATCGAGTCACTTACAAATGGAAGATGAATGTCTCCTATGAAAATTGACTTATTGGCCACTGATTGCAATAAGCTCTGAATGAAGTGGTATGCAACGTGATTTTACAAGCGAGATTTTAGGTCACGAGTTGCGATTAGGGATGTCAATCCAACTCGTAACCATGGGTATCCTATCCAACCGTAATCGGTCAACGAGGGTAATTACCCGCTTTGACGGGTTAAGGGGTGGGTACAGGTAATACCTGGTTTCAAAATAAAGGGTAGGGTACGGGTATGGTAATCGATAATATCCGCCCTGTTATACCCGCCCCGCTAACCAAATGGTCAATTTCCCTAGCTCTAACCCTACCCAACAGTCGATTTTCCTTGCCCACACACAAGTGAGGTGCTTGCTCAGACTCTTCTTGAAATTTTACTTGCTTGGGATATTGACACAAAGGTATCTACGATTACCTTGGATAATTTTTCTACTAATGATGCCTTGATGGATGTCATGAAGCATAAGTTAAGCAGTGAGCATTTGATGTGGTCTGGTTCTAATATTGTGTTTGCTGTTTTTGTTTATGTGTGGATTGTTGAAGCTAGAACAAATATGATGTATTGTGTTTTTGTTTGTGTGGATTGTAGAAGCAAGAACAATTATTATGTGTTTGCTGTTTTTATTCGTGTGGATTGTTGAAGTTAGAACAGTTACAAGTATTGGGAATTTTTCAATTTCCCTATCTCTAACCCATGGTTACCCGAATACCCGTGGTTACCCGGTGGGTAGGGTATGGTTATATCATTTTCATACCCGATGGTTATTTGATCGGGTATTTTAGGAGGCTCTACCCGGCGGGTTAAGAGTTGGTATAGGGTAAACCCGCACCCGACCCTACCCATTGCAATCCCTAGTCGCGATGGAGCGAGCAAGATTTTTTTGTCAATTGGAACAACAGAGAATGAGACGGATGCAAGGAAATGGAATAAAATTGAAGATTTCAACAGCGACCATGTGGAGATTTCACTGTTGGCATCCACAGGAAGGCCACCAAGGTAGGCGCTAAAGTCAACTCCCCCCAAAGCTCCACAGTGCTCCACCCAGCAACTGAAAACCTAGAATTCTTATTATCTCTTAAATGCTGCGTTCGTGACTTGGCAACCCTAAGGTTCACTACGATGGCAGCTTATTCAATTGAGATGTCTTATTTGGGATTGGGACTTATGATGAGAGCTTACGGGAAATAATCAAGACTGTCGGCGCCGACGTTCCCGGGGGTAAAGAATCGACATGCGGCAGCAATCGAGGGATTGGAATGCTACCAAGGGCGATTGATTGATTACCCGAGAAGTGCTTGCCGACGACGCGGAAGATGCGATTCCCGGGACGGTCAGAGCACTGGAGGGAGAAGAAATGGAGGAGATCCAGATCGCTCTCTTCGACTCTCTCTTAGTTGCTCTGTCTTTCGGTTGATTCCAGCTCATTGCCTGCGATTCCCCTCTTCGGTAACCGCCGCAGTTCACCTCTTAGTTGTGCCGGCCTCTGCCTATTTTTATCGAGAGTTTGACGGCAGTCGGCAGCGGAGAAGGAGGGGTGGACGAGAATTTTGGATTTTCGGGGTCAGTGGCTTCAGGCTTGTGATTATAATTAAAAAGATTATAATGAATTTTTCTTGTTAAACTGAGGTGAAAATTAAATTTTTTATTTTTAATTATTTTTTATTTGCCACGTCACTGATTTAACGGTCAACTATCAAAGTTGACTGCCACATAAGAAAATTTTGATGGAGACTAACGGAGAGTGACCAAACTTGAATTGTCGGACTAATTTTAGTGACTAAGGATTGAATAAAATAATTTAAGTGACAAATGTCAACTTTTTAAGTAATTCCAGTGACCAAACTTGCAATTTACCCATAAGTGCTACTACAAGAAACAATTACCAAGAGGTCCTTTGGAAATTGTGATTGTTTTTTGGATTGTTACTTCGTTTATATTGTTTAGAATATATCATTTTTTGAGTTTTTAGCAGACACAAAAATGAATTGTTTCTGTATTGTCCTAGAAACTATCACTAAAAATAAGCGATTGTTATATCTTAACTTTAACTGAGATTGTTGAATTTAGATTGTTTTCTTTCAGTTTTTAAATGATATGATGTACACAATCAAATATATCAAACATTTTATTTTACCGTTTATCAAATTCGAAACAAATATATATATAATACATATGTTTAACAGTATAAACTTTTAAACCAAAATACATGTTGGTAATTTGCTAAGGGTGCGTTTGGATAAGTGTATTTTAAATGTAAGGTATTTGAAATACTAGCATTTGAAATGAATGTATTTGAAATATTAGCATTTCAAATACATGTAATTCAAATTCATTGTTTGGATACTCATTTGTAATTTGTTTGTATTTTGTATTTTACGATTTTCAATTTGAATTTTTAAATTTTTGGTCACTTACTACAAATTTTGGTAAATTATAGTTTGGTACCCAAATTTATTTTGCTTACAATTTAGTACCTAAAATTTTAAAATTTTACAAAAAGGTCCTGAAATTTTGATGGTAAAATTACATTTTGGTACCTTTATATGTTTTTCCTCACACTATAGTACCTAAACTTTTCATATTTTACAAATAGGTCCAGTTTTTTGTTAGGAGGTATTTCAAATCACTAGTTGTTGAAATGTATTTGAAGTTGATAAAAAATACACTTCTAGTGTATTTGGAAATCACCCCATGAATTTGACACAAATCCAAATACCAAATGTAATTAATATCCAAACACATGATTTGGTATTTGGAAATCCAAATCACAAATACCAAATCCAAATCATTGTATCCAAACGCACCCTAACATTTTACTATTTTAGCACCCGATTCTGCGTAGACTAGTAATGGACCAAAAGTCGAGACTCGGGGCTCAACGGCACTGATTCTGAACGAGTGACTAGAGACTACTGAATAGGCACGTGCCAGCCCAATTTGAATCTGTAAGCACCAGGAAGAAAACCCCTCTTCTCTTTCTCACCCACTTCTCTTCCGCTTTTCTCTCTCTTTCTGTCTCTCCTGTGTTTTGTTTTTTTTGAATCGGAGGCAGGAGCAGCAGCCATGGAAGCGATACTGGTGGACTGTGTGAACAACAGTCTCCGCCACTTCATGTTTGGAAACGCCATTTTCATGTGCGAACGCCTCTGCGCCGAGTTCCCTTCCGAGGTACTTCTTTATCTTGGTTGCCCCTTTCCCCAATTTCTTTCTCTTTCTCTTTTACCTTTTTGTTCCTCGATCGCACTCTGTTCGGCGCTCAGAGATGCCTTCCCCTCTGTGAGAGAAATTGAGAGGGAAACTCTTCTTTAGTAGGAAGAGAGCTTGTGTTAACTAATGAGATTGGCTTTCTAGCGTGGTTACTACTAATTCCCTAGTCGTAATTCGGGAGTCTGGTGCGGGATTGTTTGCTCACTCGAGGTTTTAGTAGTGACTTGTATCCGGTTCTCTGTCAATAGTGTTAGTTGCATTGCATGCCTAGTTCAGTTGGGGTTGCAAGGTGGAATGCGCTTTGTAGAACAATCAAGCTATTGGTGAGAGAAGCTGACTTCTGGGATTTTTTTTTTATGTTCTTTTTGCTCCTGGGAATTGTGGGATGACCTCAATTATGATGTTTGCTGGCTCGAAGCTTCAGACTGTATAGTGTCATCTGTTGAATGTGAAAGAGAATTTCACTGTACTATTCGAAGCTTTTGTTGTAAATTCGTTGTTTGGTTGTGCTGTAACCAACTGATAGAGGCTTATCTTGGGGGGACTCTATAAAGAGAAGGATTGTATTCGTTGGGGTTGGGTTTATGAGTTACCCATATGGTATCTCAGTTCTTAGTCATTTAGTTGGTTATGTACTCGTTCTATTGAATTATCTCTTGCTTCTGGTCTTGTCGAGATAAGACTGACTGTTCTGCTGGCACAAACAATTTTTTCTGGGTGAAATGTGCATCCTTGATGCTTTCTCTCGTCTGGTTTGTTTTACTTTCACTTTCTACCAGGTTTTATGAACTGTTTGATGGTTGTTTTGTCTTGTCTGCAGACAAATTTAGAGTTGTTAGCTCGGTGCTATTTGCAAAATAATCAAGCCTATTCTGCTTATCATATCCTTAAAGGTACCAGATGCTAGTCCTTATGTCTTCTGCTTTTTGATCAGTTACTAATCTAACGAGCATCTTGTGATGCATAATCCAATTAATCTTTTCCTTCCCTTTTGACTTTGATTTGCTGAAATATATTGCCTATTCATTTATATCCTCTTTGTTTCTTTTCTTGGTTGTTTGAAGGAACACAAATGGCTCAATCCCGCTACTTGTTTGCAATATCATGCTTTCAGATGGACCTCTTAAAGGAAGCAGAAGCAGCATTATGTCCTGCTAATGATCCAGGCGCCGAGGTATATGTGACATTCTACATTGTTTTAAGTGAGATACTATAGAGGTTTTTCAACATACTTACTTCTTTTTACTACCAGTCAAGTATGCTTATCTAGCTTAACTGGTAACACCTTGTGAGATTTTTTGATTTGCTTAGCAAAGGAATTGTGTAGTCTGTTCCTGACTGTATTATCTGCTTTCTGATTGGAAGATTTGACGTAGCACGTTTAACTAGGATTTAGCTGAAATGACGGACCGTGTTCTTAATTTTGCATTTGAGTTGGTGTGCTGTAAAGCTTCTCTGATTAGGGAATTGATAATCACTCTTCGTCTTCTGTGGGTCTGTCTGTAGGTTCCCAATGGTGCTGCAGGGCATTACCTTCTTGGTCTTATTTACAGGTTACTTACCTTTCTTTCTATATTTTCTTAAACCCATTTTCTTTTCAGTTAAAAGGTTATCATTGCTCAATCAAGAGATCCTGTTTTGAGTTTAAGCTTTTTTCTGTAAGAATTAAGGGACTTGCATATGAGATGACCTTATCCAGTTCAAATGTAGGTGTGCACTTATTGTTCATCATTATGTTGTGTGACACCTATCTTCTAAAATGGTTGTTGCTGCGTGCATAGGGTGTGCCAGATACAAGAAACCGCTACGTGATAGAAAAGATTTTGTTGAATTCTTTCTTAGTGGTTGAATTATGTGAATGTTGTCAAATCTCCTCTGGAGAAGAATCATGTGTCTGCAAATGGACTTGACTTATTTTATTCCTGTGGCCTGAGCTCAGCTTTTGTTTATGATCTGGATATTTACCTGTTTTTGGACTAAAGAAGCTTATGCTTTGTATCTAAATCATTGTTCTCTTACTTATTCTGCAAGTGCTATTGGTTTAGGTATACTGATAGAAGGAAAAGTGCTATCGATCACTTTAAGGAGGCTTTGTTGGCAGATCCTCTTCTCTGGGCTGCATACGAAGAGCTGTGTGTATTAGGTCCGTTTTTTTGTGAGATGCGAGAAATTTCTACATCTCTGGCAGCATTGTCGTTGCTCTTTCTATAACTGAGGGATACAGCTTGCCATTGTTAACAATTAGCATACTTTTTGTCTTTATAATTTTAGGTGCTGCTGAAGAGGCAACTGCCATTTTTGGTGAAGCAGCTTGTCTTGGTATTCAAAAACAGTACTGCCATCACCTGGCAGTTACTCACAACATGCATGTGTCAAGTGAAGATCGCACTGTAGCTTCAACTAGAAACTCCAGCTCAGAAGATGGTAGTCCAAGGCAGCTGAAACATATGCAAGGCACTAACTTGAGAGAACTATCAGGAAATTGCCATGTCTCATCAGCAGGAGTTGGTAGTCAGCCTTCAAATGGAGGTCCCCCAAGCTTAGGATTTTACAATACTCCTTCACCAATGGCACAGGTATTCTATTTTGGATTTGTGAAAATTGGAAATTTTGAAAGTGTAGAGACATATTTTGTAGTAGTTTGTACTGGTGCTGCCTTTTTGGTGGTTTCTTCTGGTTGTACTTTTGTCATTGAATTTACTTTGCTAAAGCTCTTATTCATCTTGATCTATAACTGCACCATCAATTGCTTTTTTTTTTTATGGTTTCCCTTGTTTCACGACTTTGTGATCTAACGTTATTCTCATATTTTGCATCTTCTAGTTTTTATATATTGCTGAGTGCTTTAACTTTTTCACTAGGCATTCTAAAAGTACTTTCATCGTAACTTATATTTCTAGCCAATGTTCTTCAACACTTTTCGTGTCATTTATGTTTGATGCTTGTCAGCCATTACAAGGGCTGTTGAAATTCTAGTATGTACCGTTACATCATCTATGCATCTTTTGTGAGACATCTCAACTCATTGTGTTCATTCCAAGTCTGTTATGGTTTATATGTGACTATTTGGATGTTTATAAAGTCAATATGCTTATTTGTCATGTACTTTGTTTTTTGTTGTCTCTTACCTCTATGTCTTCTCCCTTTATTACCTGATAAATATGATGATGTCCCTGGTGTTCGCAGTTCTCGGGCGTTGCACCCCCTCCATTATGTAGGAATCTTCCGGCTAACGGTCCAAATCTTAGTAATGCTAATACTGATAACTCTCCAAAGTCAGTTGTGAACGCCAATTTTCAAGCTCCGCGAAGGAAGGTTGTTGATGAAGGGAAATTACGCAAGGTGAGGATTCAATGATTATGGTCAGAGCGTGTTTAATTTTGTTTTTGTCATGTATATTTAATGTTGTAGAATTGTAGTTCTCCCTGCCTTCCAAAATGTTTAGTTACTGTGGTCATCACGGAGGTTGTATACTGTGATTAGTTTCCATGTTGTCGGCACTTATCATGGTAGCTCTGTCTCAAATCCATCTCCGTAGCATGCGAAGTGACATAGTGGGTTAACTTTGATAGTGAAGATTTATGTTGTGAAATCAGTCATCTTGTCTATTGTGAGGAAAAATTCAGTAGTACAGAACTGCAGTTTGGCATAATTGCACTTGTTTTATTCAGAGTCTTCTTTACCTCGAATCCGATAATACCATTATTTGTATAAAGATTGACCTATTGCTTTTTGAAGACCAGTGGTATCAGTGTCAGGTCATGAGTTCCTTTCACATTCTATTATTAAAATTTCCGATGTCCTTGTTGCTTGCTGCATTTTGCAGATAGCTTGGGTTGGTTGCCTGGGCATACTAGTTTAAACTTTTTGTCTAAGAACGATTTTGTTTTCTTCCTTTCACCTTGGCATGGTTTTGACTTCAGATTTCTGGAAGGCTATTCCCTGATTCTGGCCCTCGACGTAGTTCAAGACTTGCCGCAGAGGCGGTGACCAACGCAAATGCGACCACCACGTCAGTTGCGGGGAACGGGAACGGCAATTCTTCTAAGTTTCTTGGAGGTTCCAAGTTGGGTTCCATGGCAATACGTTCTGTAACCCTTCGTAAAGGACAGTCTTGGGCCAATGAAAATTATGATGAAGGTGGTGATTTGTGTTGTCTCTTTATGGGGAAACCTGTGTATTATGATTAAAGTTGCTATTATTGATTTTTGCTGTTACTGAAAGTGCTATTATTGTACCTCTACTTTTTCCGCAACTCAGAGGACCACTAACTTGTGTTAGATGATTACTGAATTACTTATTTCCTTCTGTGTTCTTCTTGAACCTCGAATAGGCAGGGTGAGGCAGGAATAGAGGAAGATAGAAACCATAGATTGCTCACATATTTTTCTGTGGCTCTTGGTTCTGCCTAGACAAGAATGAAAGTTAGGTCTAGATGGTCTCAGTTACTGCATCTATTTGTGTGGTGCTTAAGTTGTCAGTACTTTGTTCTATTTGCATGGTTGGGTTTACTTTTGTGAAAGTTTCATATCTTGTTTGGCTCATACCGATCATAGCAAACAAGTTCTAAAACTTCTCCCTTGATATTCTTAAGGGATTCGTAATGAGGCTTTTGATGATGTGCATGCAAATGCTCCTTCTACAAATCCTACTCCGTCACCATCTGGTGAAACTAGATCTACTGAAGCAGATGGAGCAACTGTCCCTGTTGGCACGGCTGTGATAAGTGCCTCAAAAATCTTTAGTGGTACTTCTGAAATATTAAGCCTCTTAAGAATTCTTGGAGAAGGCTACAGGTTCTCTTGTTCTTATAGGTGTCAGGTATGCATAAAACTTGAAATGATATTCACTCTTATTGCTCACAGTTACTTTCTCTAAGTTGCTTCTTTGTTAACTACAGGATGCTCTGGATGCATACATGAAACTACCATACAAGCACTATAACACAGGATGGGTACTTTCCCAGGTAATCTCGCAGATCCGAGTGTTGAACATTTTCTAGGTCATATGAATTTCTCTTTTGTCTTTAAGAAGCTGTAAATTTTAGCGGGATATAGAGAGTGATGTTACGGAAGATGATGAAAATGTTATTTTTAAAGTCAAAACCACGCTTTGAGTCCTGCTAAACAGTTGATCCAACTATCATTGTTTCTCCCTGTCACTTGGGAATTCTCACTATTGCTTTAAGTTGCTTTAGTACATTGGTGCCCGATATGTTATATTCTATTTTGGATTGAATGCATGCCATACTTCTTCCAATGGTGCTGCGATTTTGCTCAGTTTTATGGTTATCATTTAGGAACTTCTGCTACTTCTGCTTTCCATGCAGGTTGGAAAAGCATACTTTGAATTGGTTGATTATCTGGAAGCTGACCGTGCGTTCAGTCTTGCTCGTCGTGCATCACCATACAGTTTGGAAGGGTTAGACATATATTCTACTGTTCTTTATGTGAGTTCTGCTAGTCCTCATGACTTATGCTGGTTCAGCTGTCCCATCTTTTGTCGGTGTTGCTGCTTAGCTTGTTCGGTTATGCAAATATTGTTGAGGTTCAAAAGAGTTTTTTTTTTTAATCTGGTTTTGGCTACATTTTTATCTTCTCTTTGTTGGTAGCTGTAAGTACGCACACGTTTTTTAATTATGCCCACATCTATACTCAATCGTCCTTTCTGTTGATGCCCATTTTATTATGCCTATGAAAATGGTGATTACCCAGATAAACTTATTTTTACTTGGTTGCAGCATTTGAAGGAAGACATGAAGTTAAGTTACCTTGCTCAAGAATTGACATCGACTGATCGCTTAGCTCCCCAATCTTGGTATGTTCCTGCCCTTTGTTAGTTAGCAGTTCATTTTCATGCTTCCTTGTGATTACTCTGTCTACCTGTTGTGCCATGTGGCTTTGTTTATTAGCTTTCGTACATCTAATCATTTAATGCCACACCATATTAGATTCTTGAGTCGTTTTCAATAATTTGAGTTATTCGACTGATCATTGACATGGTATTAGAGCGTTGCTAATCATAAGGAGTCATGTTCAAATCTTGATGAACCCAATAATAAGAGCTAATTTAAACATTAGATAGAATGGAAATATGTATACTTGAGATTTAGAAGACAGACTACCTTTAATGGGATCACATATATGATGGGTTTGTGTAAACTTGAAGTCTATTGGGCATAGTTAGTTACTTTGAAGGACTTGCAAGATGTGCAAGTGCAAGAGAATGATGCTCTGAGTTAGTGGCACCGTATGCTTATGCTTGTTGTCCTCTCACTGAGTATTGTTTTTTTTTCTTCTTCTGGTACTGAATATATTCATAGACTGAGCTATAGATTCAATTCATCATTTTCTATTTCTCTGTACCTTCTCCATGGACCATTTAGGTGTGCAATGGGAAATTGCTATAGTTTACAGAAAGACCACGAAACCGCTTTGAAGAATTTCCAGCGAGCTGCACAACTTAGTTCAAGATTTGCTTATGCACAAACACTTTGTGGACACGAGTACGATCCCCCGCTCTCTCTTCATTGTGATGTATTTTCTGCAGCTAATCATAATATTGTTCACTTTCTATGATCTACCTCCAGATACATAGCTTTGGAGGATTTTGAAAATGGAATCAAGTGTTACCAGAATGCATTGAGAATTGATACCAGACATTACAATGCCTGGTATGGACTTGGAATGGTCTACCTACGGCAGGAGAAATTCGAATTTTCCGAGCACCATTTCAGGATGGCTTTCCAAATAAATCCACGTTCGTCTGTTATAATGTCGTATCTCGGGACTGCATTGCATACGTTAAGGGTGAGGGCTACCTGCCAAGAGCTGTATTATTCCTCTTTTAAACTCCAATAGTTGTCCGAATTATTTATAGGCTTATTATTCTGCTTGCAGAGAAATGAAGAAGCGCTGGACATGATGGAAAGGGCGATATTGGCCGATCGGAAGAACCCTCTTCCAATGTATCAAAAGGCTAATATCCTTGTTAGCATGGAAAGCTTTGATGAAGCCTTGGAAGTTCTAGAAGAGCTCAAAGAATATGCACCTCGTGAAAGCAGCGTCTATGCATTGATGGGTAAAATTTACAAGAGGCGAAACATGCATGACAAGGCCATGCTTCATTTTGGCCATGCCTTGGATTTGAAACCCTCTGCCACAGATGTCGCTACTATCAAGGTAATTTCGTTTTTTCTCACTTCAGTCTGTACCTCGGACATGTTTTGAATCTTCCATTCGGTGATGATATCATTTAAGGATATTCTACCCAACAAATTCTTTGGTATCGTGTTGATCAACAGGCTGCCATTGAGAAGCTGCATGTACCAGATGAGCTAGAAGACTTGGATGATGACTAGATGCGAGCAGATACAGAAGGTCAAAGAACCTGGTACAGAGTTCGTGATTAAGAGAGGAAGGTATGACCTGAGGCCAGAACTTGTCTGCTCGTGCTTTTGATGAATCGCGAAAAACCAGAGGCTCTTCCTCGATGTGCAGACCTCGGTGAAGACATCTCAGTTTTGATTGATTAGATGATCGATTAATTAACACACACTGCAGACCAAAACCGAGGCGCTGGGAATCTGCCAATACTTTGTACCAAATATACTTGTGTATCGAATTCGGAGAAACAATGGAAAAAGGGGTAAAAAGTTAGTGTACCATTCATCTGTGTTACTGTCAAAAGCTAGTTTACCATTCATCTGGTATCTGTGCCTCCTGTTCCTTTCATATGTAATCTCATGCAATTCTTCAAGGCTGTTAGCTAAATGAATTGTTCTCTTTCTCAATATTCTCAGGATTTTGGAAATATAATCAAGTATTACCCTAAGTGAATATTGAAAAGGAAAGGTCATTAACTCTTAGTAGGGCTGGGAAATTGGGATACAAATCTTATTAATTCCGTTTTTTTTTTCCCTGTCCGAGTTGGTTTGTAATTTAACGGATTTGGTTTCGGTTTTAGCCAAAAACGAATAGGAAATAGAAATCAAACCCGAATGGTGCTCCAACCAAAACTATTATAAAGAGAATAGGTTTTTTTTTTGGTTCTAATTGAAAAGCGGTAAGTCCTAGGGTTCAGTTTTGAAGAAATAGCCTATATTGATTTTTCGATTCTTAATGGTTTTGGTTCGGTTAAACCGAACTGACACAGCAAGTAATTATTTTATTCTTATATTATAGGGTATTATATCCTCATATTATGATATAGTTTGGATGAAAAAAATCTTAAGAATACGATGGAACGTTAAAATCGGTGGAATTTGAATCAATGAGAGATGGTTAAAATATTGTTTGGATTGATGAAGTTGGAGAAATGTTAGGGTTGGTCTTGTTTCTTCAATAATAGTGTAGATCAATTGCACCTCCTCCTGGTTGGAAGAGTATTATGATGAAAGAATCCAAGGGTTTTAGATTTCAGAATTCCATTGATTTATTCATTCAAAGTTTCAAACAATGAAATTTGTTAGATTCCTACACTCGGTTGATATTTCAAAAGAGGATTCACATGAGGAGGAGTTGAAATGGTAACTAAACTATGGTCTATCGCCAAAATAGTAACAGTAGAGTAGGTTGAAAGCAGAAGCGAGTTAGGAATCAGTAAGTGGCGAGCTTTCTTTCCCAGACCTTGGCCGCTCATCTCTCTGCCTGAATATGTCCGTCGCCGCACAGCACTTACTACTCCGCTTATCCTCCGCCGGTCGCCGGATTCTTCCGCTCCCTATTTCTGCCCTCTGTCACCGCCCTGCCTTTTCCTCATCCACCGGAGGCACCCAACACCTCGACTTCCACTCGGACGAATCGTCCTATGAGTCCGACGTCGAGATCCCTCGAACCCGAACCCGAACCCCGCTCGAAACCGGGTTCGAGACATGGACCGAGAGGCTGAAACCCGGATTCACGCCGGCCGACGTCGAATCCGCCATCACGGCCCAGTCGGACCCCGACCTCGCCCTCGACATCTTCCGATGGACGGCCCAGCAGCGGAACTACAAGCACAACCACGTCACCTACCTCACCATGATCAAGACCCTCATCAACGGGCGCCGCTACCGCCACGCCGAAACCCTAGTTGAAGAGGTCATCGCCGGCGCCTGCGAGATGACCGTCCCGCTCTACAATTCCGTGATCCGGTTCTGCTGCGGCCGCAAGTTCCTGTTCAATCGCGCCTTCGACGTGTACAAGAAGATGCTGAAATCAGAAGACTGTAAGCCCACGCTCGAGACCTATGCTCTGCTCTTCAATTCGCTGCTTAGGAGGTTTAACAAGTTGAATGTGTGCTATGTCTATTTGCACGCTGTGAAATCCATGACCAAGCAGATGAAGGCCTCTGGAGTTATTCCGGATACCTTCGTGTTGAACATGATCATCAAAGCTTATGCCAAGTGCCTGGAAGTTGATGAGGCGGTTAGGGTGTTTAGAGAAATGGGGTTGTATGGATGTGAGCCGAATGCTTATAGTTATGGGTATCTGGTGAAAGGGTTGTTTGAGAAGGGGAGGATAGGGCAGGGTCTAGGGTTTTACAGGGAGATGAAGAGCAAAGGGCTTGTCCCTGGTGCAAGTACTTACATGACTGTGATTTGTAGTCTGGCTATGGCTCGGAAGCTGGATGACGCGATTGGCATTGTTTCTGATATGTTGAGGAATTCACTGTTTCCGGATCAATTGACGTATAAGACCGTGTTGGAAGGGCTGTGCAGAGAAGGGAGGGCTGGCGAGGCTTTCGAGCTGCTTGAAGAGTGGAGAAAGATGGATAAGTTGATGGGGGAGAGAGTGTACAAGACTCTGTTAAATGAACTGCATTTTGTAAGCAGAGAGTAGTATTCGATGAGTCGATTCTGATGAATCCTTCCATCATTCAGCTCCGACTTGCTATTGTGGTTGATGAGCCTTCGATCATTCAGCGGAGCATTGCAGCAGTTGGAGAAGAAGCTCGTAGATGTTTCGTGTGTTTGTGCTGTGGTGCATGCTGCTGGTATGCTGAGACTAGCTATATGAGCAATCTGCATAAGAAGTGGTGTTCCTAATCGCTGACGAGGAGTCTTCTTAGTAACATTTTGACAGGCTTCCAAAAGAAAGGCGGCTGCCGGCTCAGTTTGCACAGCAAAGGAGGATTGATACACTCGTATTTATACATCTTGGGCCATTTTTACCCGTAAACTTAATCCCATTGATTATTTTCATGATATTCGAATGCTTCATGTCCTAGCATGTTAAGGAATAAGGATCGCTTGGAGCAAAGATCGTTGGCGTAACCTTAAATTCATCCAAGATCCAAGAGGAGTGTGCAATAATAGCAAGGAGAAGATGAATGTTATCGTGGATTTGTGTTCTTCTTCCTCTTTGTACACACTCTCTCTATGTTCTAACTTCTTTAGTTGCTTAGGAGATGAACTCTCTAGACTGTAAATTGATTTTGTGATTGAAAGTAAACCATTGTAGACCTCTATTCACTATCTCTATTGGTTAGATATAGAGAATCACATTATTCTGTGGGCCTTTGACTTAAAGAGAGAACTCCAATCAAGTCAAGGCGATGACACATCAATTAGAGATTATCAATTGTATGATCATAGAGTTGATTAAAGTTTTGAGTGGTTGAATTGATTCGTGACCATTGATCCAAGGGCTAGCTTAGGATTGTTGGCAATTTAGAAGATATATGGAGAATGTTTTTGAGTTTGCATCATTCCATGTCTATCTATTATTAGAGGAATCCGACCTTAAGCAACATCTCTTCTCTTATGATCCTCTTTTAAAGTAGTTGTTTCTTTCTTAGTGTACTTCACTTTGTTTAAAATAAAAGGGTAATGTCTATTTTTTTATCCAAATCTTTTTAGATTCTTTTATATTATCCAAACCTATTAAAATTCTATTAATTAGTCAAGTCTTTCGTAATGCATCAAAATATTAGTCATTTTTACGTTATCGTTAATAATTTTGTAACTCTTTTCTTAGTTAAAATACTAAAAATTTTCAATTTGACCTTCATGTGTCTCTTCCAAGTCAGTATCATGTTGTCAATATTATTAACAAAATTGCAAACTGAAAGTTAACATTTGGCTAATTCCTAGTATTTGGATAGATTTGGATAATATAAAAAAATCTGAAAAATGTTTGGATAAAAAATAGACATTACCCAAATAAAAATAACCACTTTGATTGACTAGATAGTAATGCAAAGTTGATTAGTAGTAGACAATAGAAGAGTGAAGAGTCTTTTCTCGCCCAGACGAATTCCATTCAGGCTTGGCTTGACCCTGCTGAAGGCGCAAAGTTCATCATTCAGTGTGTTGGGGAGATCTGGATAAAGTATCTCTCATAGATAGAGGAAGAGTAGGCGCGCTACGGCTTAGGCAGTTGATCGGATCAGATAGCCTTTCGGGCAAGTAAGCCCACATCAAATTCCGATCAAGAACCTGGAGGGATGGCTGAGTGGCTTAAGGCATTGGTTTGCTAAATCGACATACAATCTTCTTGTATCATGGGTTCGAATCCCATTTCCTCCGGAGAAAAAAAAACCTCTTGGTGGCATTTGTGGAATATAGCCTTACGCGGTTTAACTAGAGTGCACTTGTCTTAGTTAAACATAATAGTGAGCAGAAAGCATCAAGTTTTTTAAGTTACATTTTATCACGTATTTACGCCATTGTCATAATCATTTAAGTTGTTATGTAAGACCTATAATTACTACTTTAGTCGTGTTGTTTGTTTGGTATGATGTGATTGTGTTTCTTGTTCATGCTTTCTTATTCATTGTTATTTCACCCTTTAATCTTGTATGCTAGTTTTTTTTACCACTTAGTCACTTACCCTCTTTTCGTTATTTGTCATTGTAGCTTGTTGAACAATGGAAACAAATTTCAAGTGACTGGGAATATGTGTTGAGTTGAGTGGGCTGGGTCAACATTAAAATTCTGAAATAATATTAGGTTTTGTTTAGTATAAAAATGTTCGGCACCACTGTCAGCCCGTTACTAGGCCCAATCTTTGAATGAGCAAGGCCCTCCCCGCAATCCACAACACCATGGTCCAGATATTGCTCTTGCTTAAAGTCCAAACCCACTCTCACTTCTCCGTCTCTCTCTTGATGCAACCTCTACTCACACTATTCACTGTCAAGGAATACTTAACCACTCAGACGCCTACCAGGCCACCATTCCTTCCCCTTCCTCTTCCTCTTCCTCTTCCTTTCTCTCACACACGAAATATCTCTCTCTGGTTGCCCGAATTCACATTATCGTAGGGGTTCTCTGTTCCGACCCCAGAAAAGAAAATGGAAGCCGACAAAGACAATCGACCCCACCCCAACCATCATCTCAATCGCCCCACCACACTACTAACACCACAAGCACGACAGGCGAGCTGTTCATCTGTTCGACAACCCGGAGCCTTCTTCCCCCAAGGTCACTTGTATAGGTAAGGTCCGAGTGAAGACCAAGAAGCAGAGCGAGAAGCTACGGACCAGATCTATCTCCACCAGGAGGCCGACGCCTGGCGGCGAGGGGAGTTTCAAGAGGCTGGACCGCGAGATTGACGACGGAAATAATGCCGCCGAGTTCGTGTTCTAGCAGCAGCAGCACCGGAACCAGAGGTGAGTGCATCGGCGTTGACAACATTTATTTGGATCTGAGTTCAACTGTTTCTTGCCATGCCACTCTTCGTCCTGCCTTGCCGGCGAGGAGAATAAGGACAAGGAAGAGAGAACAGTGTTAGCGGGAGGGGAATCTAACAATGGTGGATCCTGGGGCTGTGCAGGAGAGAGATGTGAAAGGGAGGGAGATTGAGTTGGTGGCGGAAGAGCATGAGGAGGAGGAAGAAGATGTGTACAGTACAGTACAGTAGCCCGGAGATGCAGCGGAGGAGCTATACAAGGTACCATGAATTCGAGAAGATCGATTTCGATCTCAAGCTGGAAGCCTTTGAAGGAGACAATAATGGTGGAGAAGAATCTAGGATGAGCATTTGCATTCCCCCTAAGAACGCTCTCTTGCTCATGATGAGGTGTAGATCTGACCCTGTGAAAACGGCTGCTCTCGGCAACAAGTTCTGGAACCCTCCGGATGTCATGAAAGATCCCGACGAAACAGTAGACAACGAAGACGACAACGGCAAAGTAGACATTGGAGTAAAAGTCGCAGTAAATCACCAGGAAGCGGAAGTAGAAGAAGGTGGCTTCGTAAATGCAGTTGCAGAAGCTGTTGAAATGGATGAAGGAATAGTTGAGAGTGATGAGCAGGGAACTGACGAAGAAGCCATGGCGGAAGGGCCACACCGAGCCCAGGAAGAATCGGCAACTGACGAACAAGTTTCACCTCAAGAACAAGACGACAGAGCAGTTGCAGACGGCCAAGAGACTCCGGTGCCAAGGCAGGAGGAGGAATTAGCGACAATGTCAACCGCGGATGAAGGAATTCCAATCAATGACTCTACTGATGAAGAGATATCTGATCTGGAGAAGCTGTCGGTCGAAGATAATAGTGAAGAAGTTCAGGTCAATGTAGCCGGTGTTGAGGAAACAATAACGGCCGAAGATCCCGATTCCGAGTCACCAGTGCTGGAAGAATCTGCTCAAGAGCCAGAACCAGCGGGGCAAGGGGCAGAGCGTCCAGACCCGAGGACCCGGAGATGGAAGGTCCGAGTCCAACGGGTCATAAATCAAAGGAAAGAGAAAATAATAATAGGCCGCTTTTACCGGATTGCTTGCTGTTAATGATGTGCGAGCCGAAGCTGTCAATGGAGGTTTCCAAGGAGACGTGGGTGTGCAGTACGGACTTCATCCAATGCCTGCCGGAGCCTTCAAGGCGGGTCGCCGTCAAGAAAATCAACGGCGGAGATGTGACAATCAGCGTTGACGCGATTCTAGAGCCGGTCAACGAAGCGGAAGTGTGTAAAACCGGCTCACAACAGCTCCATCAGCCGCCGAGGTCATCTTGCTCCTATCTGGCGGCTCAGCCGCTGGCGTGGCGGCCCGACGCGGAGTCTATAGGGTCGGGGTTGGAGATTAAGCTGAAGAAGAGGTACAACGAGCTGCCTCTGATGCTGACGCGGTGTAAGTCGGAGCCGAGGAAGGCGGCGACTAAGCTGGCTCCGACGGAGGCTTGTTGTTGGAAGAACATGAAGTTGGAGCCGCACCGGGTCCGCATCGGAGCGGCTGGGGTTGGGTTCTAGGGTGGGAATGTCAATTATGCTAATAGAAACAGAAATCGAAAGAACACCAAAGCTTTTTTAACGTGGTTTCGTCAATGTGACACTAATCCACGGAGAGGATCTCCCTCTCAGGTTTTTTGGTATTATTTATTTCTTACTTGATACATGAGTTACAGGAGAATATATATAGTGGTTTGCTATAACAAACCCTAACTACATAATTACACATTGGTACCTAACTAATACACAATTAACACCCTCCCTCAAATTGATGTTGAGATCTTAACATCAATTTGGAAGATACCAATGTCTGCTTGAGGACACAGCCTTAGTCAACAAATCAGCAGTCTGCTCCTCAGTCTTCAAGTAACTCAATTGGATCGCCCCTTCTTCAACCAACTGTCTGATGTAATGAACATGCACCTCTATGTGTTTCGTCCTATCATGCAACACAGGATTATTTGCTATCTGTATAGCACTCGTATTATCACCATATATTCTCATAGGCAGCTCGCACGTAACTCCCAACTCGAGAAACAACCTCTGTAACCAAACCATCTCAGAGCTAACTTCAGACATAGATCGATATTCTGCTTCTGTGGAAGACTTAGAAACTGTATCTTGTTTCCTACACCTCCATGATACAAAAGATCGACCAATGCGTATACACCATCCAGAAGTAGATCTTCTAGTGTCTAAACAACTTGCATAATCAGCATCTGCAAACGCTTCAATTGCCGGGGTTCCATCACTAGGAAAGAACAAGCCTACTTCCGAAGTATGCTTCAAATAACGAAGTAACCTGTGTACTGCATCAAGATGGGTTGTACGAGCGAAACCAGTAAACTGACTAACCACCTGTACTGCATAGGAAATATCAGGACGAGTATGAGTAAGATAAATCAAGCTTCCTACCACACTGCGATAAAAGCTTTGATCCTCCAATAATTCGCCACTCTCCCTACTAAGTTTCAAGTTCTGCTCCATCGGGGTGTTGCAAGGACGACACGAGCTAAAACCAGTCGCATCCAGAAGATCGTTAATGTACTTCTTCTGACTAACATATAAGCCTGTTGCGGATCTACTCACCTCTAAGCCAAGGAAGTAAGAAACCTCCCCAAGCTCTTTTAGCTTGAATGCCGAATGCAGACTTGCTGTCAGCTCCCGAATGCCTTCACTATCACTTCCTGTAACTATCATGTCATCCACATAAAGTAGCAGAACAGTCAATCCATGAACAGTATTACGTGTAAACATAGAAGGATCGTTCTGACTTTGCAGAAAACCAGCCTGAATTATGGTACCGTGAAATTTTTCGAACCATGCCCGTGGTGCTTGCTTTAACCCATACAATGAACGCCGAAGTTTACAGACAACATCTGGCCCTCCTTTGGAGTATTCTGCAGGACATTCCATGTAAATTGTTTCCTTTAAATCACCATGTAGAAAAGCATTTTTCACATCAAACTGAATAATGGACCATTGCTTCATAGCAGCAACAGCAAACAAACTCCGAACAGTCTGCATCTTAGCAACTGGAGCAAAGGTTTCCTCGAAATCAATCCCATACTCCTGCTTAAAACCTTGAGCCACAACCCGGGATTTGAACCGTTCAATAGAGCCATCGGGGCGCATTTTAATAGTGTAGACCCATCGACTGCCGATGACCGGAATATTTGGAACACGAGGCACTACATCCCAAGTGTGTTGAGCTTCCAATGTATCAATCTCCTCATCCATAGAAGCGCACCAGCGCGGATCATTCTTAGCAAACCGATAGTGAGATGGAATATGAATAACATCGCCTGCCGAATAGCCTACATAGTCATAGTCCTATAGACGGAGAGGCGGCTGGCCGATGTTCGAGCGAGTAGACCGCCGAGGCATGGGGAGAGGTGGAGGCCCTGTTGACGGAGAACTATCTGGCGAAGAATTAGAAGTCCCGCTGTTAGAGAAGGACCCGCTGGACATGGTACCTCCTGGCTCAAATGTGCCATTTTCGGCAAAAGATGAGGAAGTTGCATTGCTGGACGAGACTTGCGTAAAGGAAGGCGCCGAAGGTGTACCAGGAGGTGTATGTTGAAGGTCTTCATCATTATTATTTCCAAGTGGGTCATTATTTCCAAGTGGGTCATTTCCTGGAGGATTATTAGCTGGAGCAGTAGCAGCGTGTGAGGGATCAAACGCAGGCAGCTGGGCGAGAAAGTCAAGTGACGCCCAGGTCGTCTCGGCCGTCTCCGAGTAATACATGGCATTTTCCAAGAAGGTAACATTGCATGAAATACGCATGCGACGTTCACTCGGATCATAGCATAAATATCCCTTATGTTGAGAACTATAGCCCACAAAGAAACAACGAGCAGTCTTCGGCGCAAGTTTATGGCGAGACTTCTTCGGCAACAAGACAAAGCAAACACACCCAAACACCCTTAACCGAGAATAATCAGGTAACTGTGAGTATAGACAGTGATATGGAGATCGATCACCTAAAACCGAAGTTATTTGGCGATTAATCAAATAGACCACGGTACTGACTGCCTCGACCCAGAAACCAGTAGGAACATGAGAGTGAAAAAGAAGCGCCCTAGTCAGTTCAAGAACATGTCGGTGCTTTCGCTCAACCACACCATTTTGCTGCGAAACACCGGGACAGGACTGTTGAGGTAGAATACCACGTGACTGATAAAAGTCCAGTAATGGTTGTGCAATGAACTCCCCGCCAGGATCAGAACGGATGAGCTTAACTTGTTTCCCAAACTGCGTCGCCACCATTTCCACAAAAGCCTTGGCATGGTCAACCAACTCAGATTTCTGGCGCAAGAAAAATATCCAAGTATACCTAGTAACATGATCCACAAACAATGCGAAGTACCGAAATCCCATGCGTGAAGTAATCGGCGAAGGCCCCCAAAGATCTGTATGAACCAAATCAAAAGGGGATGCGTACTGTGTATCACTCAAAGAGAAAGATGATTGAGTAGCCTTTGCTTCAATGCAGCTAATGCAAGTCTGGGAAGGATGAAATTTGGGATCAACGGTCACTGGTAATAAATTACGACGAAACATATGTAAGAGACGAGCAGTATGGGGATGTCCAAGCCGATAGTGCCATAAATCCCAAACCGAAACCGATGTTTGTGGAACACAAAGCTGGGAATTTAAAGTTTTAACAGAAAAACCAACAGATAAAGGACGGTCTACATCATCAGGCGGTAACCCGCTCTTTTTAAAAGAATCCGAACAATAAGAAATAGGCTCTAGTTCTCCACATGGTGCTTGTTTCTGAACTTCTATCGACTTCCGCTGATAGTGATCCAGAACAAACACACGACCATCCTTCTTACCCGTTCCCAGTACCTTCCCGGTGTTCTGATCCTGCACAACACAACCCCGATTATTAAAAGTCACTGCACACCCATCCTCAGTTAACTGACCAACCGAAACCAAACTAGGAACAAGCTGTGGCACATATAGAGTATTGTGAAGCTGAACTGATCCAGTATCAGCAGTACCCAGACCACAAATCGATAATTGAGCACCATTAGCAACTTGTAACGACCGAACAGGAGACGATTTTAAGGATGTAAAGCTCTTTGAAGACTGTGTCATATGATTAAATGCTGCTGAATCAAGCAACCAACGAGGAAGTTTACCTGACGAAGAACTCGTCGCAAATGCCGCATTTAACATGTGTGGGATGGCTTCTTGAAGTGCCTCAGCAACAAGCCTCCTTATGTCCGCGGGAGTGAGAGCAGCAGCCGGGGAAGAAGTAGCAGCAACTGGGGAAGAAGTAGCAGCAGCAGCGGCTGGCCCAGCAGCATTCACATGCCCAGCCGCATTCCTAACAACAGTCGCAGGCCTAGCGGCATTCCCAGGAGAAAAGGCAGCCGACTCCGGGGTCTCCCCAACTGCATATGCTGTCCCAGCCGAACCCCGACGATGATTAGGACGATAACCGCCTTTCTTGGCCAGAACTTTACAGTCAATGATGATATGTCCAGACTGTTTACAGTAGATGCAAAGATTCCTACGTTTGCAATGGGGTTGAATGTGACTAGGCTCATTGCAAAAATGACAAACAACATTACTAGGAGTGCCTTGCTGAAATTGAGGACGTGAAGACGAACCCTTCCCAACAGCAAAAGCAGACTCCACAGCCCCATGAGTATCTATTTTTGCTTGACTGCGAATGCGAGTTTCTTCACGGAGTAACTCAGAAAAAGCTTCATCAATGCTCGCAACTTGCCGATGAAGTAAAGATGCACGTATGGGCTCATATTCAGGACGTAGTTTGCCCAGGAATTGCATCAACCGGGAACGAGAGCGTTCCTTCAGAACATCAACAGATGCGGCGACCGGAACTAAGGACGCAGTCAACATGTCGTACTCAGTCCACTTGGTCATCAAAGCTTGATAATATGATCGAATATCACGATCACCTTGATGAAATAAAGCCAGCTCATTCTCCAATTCAAACTGACGCGAGGCATTGTTCTGAGAATAGATAGCACAAATATGAGACCACATCTCGGAAGCCAGCGAGAAACGACGAAGACTAAGACCAGTCCCAACATCAACTGCGGCTAATAACCAAGTAACCACTTGTGCATTGCCCGCTGCCCAGTCATCCCTCTCCTTGAGAGGAGCATCAGTGGCAGGCTTGGGAAGAGTACATGTCAAAATCGGAAGCAGTCGCTGACCTTCCACAAAGTTACGGAACTGAAACTCCCATAAAGGGAAGTTTGTCCCATCCAGCTTCGGAGTCACAGAAGCTACCTTCCCAGCATCCATAGTGCCGAGCAACCAAAGACAACTTGAATAAACAAACAAGGCTATCAAGAAAGCCAAGGGCAAACCTGTGCAGACGGAGAAATCAAAGAACCACAACCTGTGCAACCAACAGCTAGGACACGAGGATGGGATACGCCAAAAAAATCCCCTTGGAGGAGGACTCGTAGCAACAAATCAAAGAATCCCCTTGGTAGGAGGAGAACCCGTAGCTTGGCCAAAGAAATCCGCCAAAACAAAGAAGAAGTCTGCAATAATAATGGAACAGCTACACAAGCGAAGAGAACGCAGATGCTAACCCGTCCTGAGAACCGTGATCGAGAGTCAGATTGCAGGCTCTGATACCATGTCAATTATGCTAATAGAAACAGAAATCGAAAGAACACCAAAGCTTTTTTAACGTGGTTTCGTCAATGTGACACTAATCCACGGAGAGGATCTCCCTCTCAGGTTTTTTGGTATTACTTATTTCTTACTTGATACGTGAGTTACAGGAGAATATATATAGTGGTTTGCTATAACAAACCCTAACTACATAATTACACATTGGTACCTAACTAATACACAATTAACAGGGAATAGGCAGTGTAAAATGTAGCATTGGTCAAAGTCAAACTGTAGTTTTTTGTTGTCTTCTTTGTTTTTTAGCTTAGTGCGTGTTGTATGTTGTACTTTGTTGTTTTCTTATTTTTATCTCTTTCTTAGGGCCAGGTACCAGTTAGCCTTTTTTGCCACCTTGTAAATCTCAAGATTTGATTTTTATTTATGTTTTCCTTGGTTAATTTTGAGTTATGTTCTATGGATGGCTAACTTTTGTGATTTTTTAAACTGTACAGTAGATTATACATATTCAAATTGACAAAATTAGTCGGGTAGAGTAAACAATCTTTACGATTCCAAGTTTCCAACCGTGAATACTTTTGAGGTTTTCTGGATTGATCTTGAATTTGCAAATTGTGATGAATGCAAGTATCCAAGTTTTGGTTACTTTAGAGGGTACTTCGGAGGTAAGGAAGGATTCTTAGAATGTGTATATTCTTGGATTTCTTTGGGTACAGTGTAGTGGAGAAGACAAAGAATATACATACCAACACTTTCACCAAGTTATATGTACCATTCTTCTCCTTTTCCGTCAAACTTTGTCAACAATAACACTTTCAAAACACCAATTTAACAAATCGAGGATCAATGTCTTTGTACGATACTATCGCTACTACAAAGGAAAACTGGAGAGATGGGTACCTTAACCAGGGAGCCTATGCTACTTGGACTAAATTTTCTTAACAGAAACATAATGATGTGGCTACCTTGACTGAACTCAATCTTACTCGGTTTCAAGTAGACCTTGACTTAACTCAACCCTCTCTCTCTTTTTTATCAATAACCCTCTCTTTTTATATAACTTAAGTGAGCCAATAATGTCGGTCTTAGATTTCGACTGGTGGAGAAAGAGGATGATTTGGCTATCTTGACTAAGCTTAATTTTACTAACTTAAGTGAACCAATAATGCCGATCTTAGATATACACCACTCCATCGGATCGTGTGAGCACGTGCTCACTCTTTACGCAGTGAACAGTACCATACCCGAATTGTGTACCGTTAAGCACATCATTAAACTTAGGGATGGCAATTTCGACCTGACCCGATTTACCCGACCTATTTGGCCTGTTATTGGGTGGGTCAGACCCGCCCCGTAGGCGGGGCGGGGCGGGCATGGGTACCTCTCATCGACCTGACCTGCCCTAATCCGCCCCATTCTCGACCCGTTCTTGCCTAAATTACATGTAATCTTAGTCAAATTACTTATTACATTATATTTTAGCTATAATAAAGTTGTAAATAAGTGAAAACCTCAATTTCTTCAATAATTTAAACACATTTTATCATATTATGGTTTTCTTCTTAGTATTTTAATGAAAATAACGAATATTTCTAATGTTTTCGCATAAATTACATACCCATTGCGTCGACCTGCCCCGACTCGCGCCCGTGATAAATTACCCGATCTAGACTCGACCTGCCTCGGGACGGGCATAAATATCGAGATACCCACCCCGTACCTAACCATTTCACGGGATACAAGCATTGTTTCTAATAGACAAGATAATAGCCGTGGATGGAGTTTCCAATAACACTTGAAACAAACATCCACAGAAAAGAGTCATTACCTTATCGATGTTCACATCCTCATCAAGAAGAGCATCGAAACAAAGTTCATGTTTGTGCACATATATGATGTCAAGTCTTTCAGCTGAATGATAAAAAGTGGAATATGAGAGACAAATTGAAAGTT